AATAATTGAATGCTTATTGTTGTCTAATATAGCATTATAAGTTATTTAATAGTAAGAGATAAATAATAGAATTTATAGCATTGTTAAACATTGATTAATTGCATTATTTAACAAGTAGTGTTAAATAATGCATATAATAACATATAATAATACCTTCAAAACTTCCTAATATAACTCTTGCCTTACAGACCACTTTAAAATCAAAGTTATTACTATTATTTGACAGGCTATAAGCTATTAAAAAACAATAGCTGTTGTCACTACAGATCAATAAATTAAACCTCTATACCATTATAAGATTATATACAAGAGTTAGATAGAGCAGAGCAAAAAAACCAAAGCCATGTTAGCAGGAAAATAGGAATTATCTTTTTTGGGAAACTCATTTCTCTTAAATACTATTAATAATTACTAATCTCAAAAACTACTCCATTACCCTGTACATTATTTCAGGATGTGCATGTGTAGTAATTCAACTAATTTTTACAAATTTGGGTTACAAGTGGAAGCCCTACTTTTATTAATGAATTTAGCCTAAAAAATTTGATTAAATATATATAAGATGGTATATTTAGGGGTGCATTATTTTGAGTATTATTTTGTATTTAAAAAAATGAGAGTTTTGAAATAATGCCTATGTGTATTATTATGCATAAATAAATCGTGATAATACATTATACACTATGTATACAATGTATAAAATGGCAAAATCATATGATAATGCATCAATGATCAATTACTATAAGCATAATTGATTCAAGACAAAATTCTGCGGTGATACTTTTAGCTAGATTCATAAATTTAGATTCCTGGTTTTACATAACAGTGCAGCTATCTTAAATAGTATACAAAAAACAGTAAAAATAAATTTTCTTTTTTGAAATTTTTTTGAATAAACATACTGTATTACAAATTACTATAAGTAGAATTAGCTGTATGTACATAGTACAGTTGAACCTCCCAAAATTGATCCTGTCAAAACTGATAATCTGTGATAACTGATACAAAATTGAGTCACCATGTCTGTTTCTTAAGTCAAAACTGATAACCTGTTAAACCTGATAACTGATATTAAAAAAATTAAATACTTATAAAATATCAGATTTGACTTGTAAATAAATTGATTTAATTGGTTCAAATAAGATTTTGTATAATATATTAAAAGATAAGAAATAAATTTAGCCAATCATATTTGTCTATAGCTATATAATTAGTAAACTATTAGTATCTCAAAACTGATAACCTGTTAAAACTGATACAGAAGCTGCACCATGCATATCGGTTTAGGGAGGTTATACTATAACGGTAAAGGCTATTTACACAATATGAGTATGTGTGACTAACGTATTACCATATTTGGGGTCATCTAAAGCCATGTACCCATGTGACTTTTTTGTGTAAATCAACCAACCGGGCCGGGATCGCGAAATTTTGTTTACAAGGATCAGCCCAAAAAAGTTAAAAAATAAAGAAAATGCAAAAATATGAAAACGGCGGTCGAAACCTGTCTTGAAGCACTAACAAAAAATGTTGGGAAGACAATTTTACCTATAAGTTTGCCTTTCCCTAACCCCACTCTAACGCTAAACTACCTAATTCTAATTTTAATTAAATCTTCAAAAAGTCACGTGGGCACGTGGCTTTAGCCATCCCTATATTTTGTAAAAAGGGTCGGGAAAAATTGAACAGCGTTAATAAAACATACGTACGTATTAGGGTTAGAGTTCTGAGATATTTTAAAGATTTTTTATTTTGCTAGTACAGTAGTACGTACGTACTGTACGTTTCATAGCCGATTATTTAAAAAAATGTATGATTTTTTTCACATTACACTTGATCTTGTAATTTATTGCGGTTTGCGTTTTAAGAATGAGAGTGAAAACCTGGGTAATTTCAGTAATACGTATACAATAATAAAGTAATTTCTTTTTTTAGATGTTTGCGTAATTTCAGTAATACGTATACAATAATCAAGTAATTTTTTTTTTTTAGATGTTTGCGTAATTTCAGTAATACGTATACAATAATCAAGTAATTTCTTTTTTTAGATGATCTGCAAATCTCACAATTGGTAACTCATTGCCTCGGGCGTTTATGCATTAACCAATGATTCTTAAAAGAAAAATCGGAATTTTTAATTTATTACGCCCAAATGCTATATATTACATACAAAATTTATTATCCGGCAGGTATTATGTAAACACAGACGGAAAAAATTTCACATTATTTCCGCAAATTTTTAACACCTGTAGATCTCCCTACAGGAGCGACCGTCGATGTTACACGACTGGTTTTTCACGCGGTGTGAAACACATAAAAAAATTATTTTACAATACTTGATCGGACTTGATCAGTCAGTTAGTACATGTTATGATTATAATCCCACACCATTTTTTTATAATAAAAAATGGTGTGGGATTATAATCATAACATGTACTAACTGACTGATCAAGTCCGATCAAGTATTGTAAAATAATTTTTTTATGTGTTTCACACGGCGTGAAAAACCAGTCGTGTAACATCGACGGTCGCTCCTGTAAGATCTCCCACAAACATTAATCTCTAACGTGACTAGTGATGTGCCGCGTACAGTACTATACGTACAGTACGGTACGTACGCTAAATTTTTTGCCGATCACTTGCTCCAGCCAATCAGATGCCAGAAAAAGAACTATACGTACAGTACATACAGTACGTACTGTACGTACTGTATGCTAAAATTTTCAAGGTATCATATAAATGGCACATCACTAAACGTGACCTTATCTGGCATCATATACTAATTAAACATAATTATGTAATAATGACATTAGTTTAAGATTTCATGCATAAAATTGATCGATGCGTCGTTACTAGTCAATTACTATCAAAAGAGGCGATCAAAAAATTGATTCAATTCGCGTATTACAGTATTAACGATGTTTTTTGTGGCAAACAATTGCCATAGTGTAGCCAAAAAATTAAAGTTTAAATATTTTGACTATTCGAACATTTTTAACCATTATATTAGCAGAAAACTTTTACTATATATACTCCAAATAAAAGAAGTGTGTACGTTATGAATTGGTCTTTATAACCAAAAAATTGAAACTGTAATTGTGTAAAGAAGACTTTCTTAATATTGCATATGAAGTTTTATTATATATTTTTGTGATAGCTTTAATGCTGAATCTCTTTAAGACTCGGCTTTTGTTATCATTAGATGTTTAATCAAAAAAGTCATGATATTTGTTACGAATTGGCTTTGGTAACCGGAAATTTAAAGTCATAATTTTGTAAAAAGTTTCTTCATATTATATGTAAAGTTTTAAGCTCTAGTTATAGTTTCAATGCTGAATTGTTCTATAATTCGGTTAGAGAATATTGCCGGGTATGTCAGGAACTTCATAATACACAAAAAAAATCCGTATTTAGACTTGAATATTTAGTATATGAAATACCCCAGACATGCTTTTACTATTGTTATAAGTTAGTTTCAGTTTCAGATCGGGGTATTGATCAGGATTAATAATCTACTTAATAAACTTGGGAAAATTAGTAAGTGCTATTTTACATTTATTATCCAATTTCTAATGATTGCTATAAACCTTGTGTTAGGGAAAATGCAAGTCTAGGGTCTGAAAATCTATTATAATTTACTGGATGTCTAGTGCAAATCTAGCTACAAGCATAATGCAAGCAGGTCATTAAATAACGATTTTAAATAGTAAAAGCATATAAATTCAATTTGAACTTTCTCTTATATTAGTAAATGTACATAAATAAAAATGCGCTTTTATACTTTTTTTTTAATGTGCTTTTTAACGCTCTTTTATTGTAAATTCTCGAAATAGTGGGCAAGTGTGTTTTTTGGCCAGGATTAAGTTTAATTCGGATCAAAATTCGAAATAACGCCTATGTCTTTTATTTCGAGAATTTACGGTAAGTAAAAATTAAGATTTTTGGGACCTTTTTTAAAATAAATTGTTGCATAAAATTTTGCCCTTAAGTGACGTTAAAAAAAATAACAAACGAAGAACTTGTAAAGCTCATAAGATAGCTTTTTTACTGTAGCATCTAGATAAAATAAAAGTCAATAAGGCAGCTATGCTAAGTCGTAAAAAGAACCACTTTTAAATACTCGGGTATTTTAGGATAGATTGATGGTTGGTAACTGTAAAGGGTAAATTCGGGAGCAATTTTTCAAAAAAAATCACGGCATTTTAAACTTACTTTTGACATAAAGATCGTAATTCTTTACATATTTACTAAGTGAGTTAAAAGAAGCCACGTTAGGCATAAAATTTTTTTAATAATTCTCGAGCATGATTGGTTGATTTTGGGGTCAACCCAAATCAGTCGATATGAAGAACATATTATTAGAAGCCTAACGCTAATAAATGTATATTTATTTGTACTCGCCTGCACCACTTTGTAATTAGACTTTTCATTGATAACTAAATGATTTTACGTACGTACGTACGTACGTACAACAATGCGCAAGGTAAATAACGTTACATGATAATCAATTTTAAATCTTTGTTATTGGTAGTACGTACTTTATTTTAAATTTTAGATGCCACTTAATATATAAATATGAATTTCGGCTTTAAAATAACTATCATCAAGTAGAATTATCTCATTCCCAACTCTTTAATACCTCGACATTCTTTATTACGCATCATTACTTGCAATACTAGAGCCAATGGGGAATGAAATTTCAATGACATTAAAAATTAAAAAAAATAGAATAATAAATGACAGAAATTCTAACCTTAATAATCATGTATATAGCAAAAGCATTAATACAAGCACTGGATTTCCGTTGTATGATTGTGATTTAAACAACGAAAAACACAATGTTAGTTGCAAGTTTTCATTTAATATTATTTAATATTATTTAATGGTAAAAATTATCCAACAGTGTCTGATCATATTCATATGCGTTAATCATTAGCACGAGCTTTTTTTAAAAATCTGGGGCTCAAATTTCCTTTCACCAATCGACCCTATTTTAAAACATGGCAATGTCAAGGTTCTTGATGTTGGGTAAGTTTTGTATGTACTAGTTATGTATTATCATTTTACAGTATTTGTAAATGCCTTATAAATCCTCATTCATAAAAATATAAAAAGATGCGGATTTGGCGCATGGATTTACGATATGGTACTGAAATATTTAATTATAAATTATATAAATCATTAATTGTTGATTTTTATCGATTTCAATAAGTTTTATTTTACTAACATATTAATCACTTAATTTAAAGGCAAAAAACTATTCACTTTCACATTTTACTGGAATTGATATTATAAGTTCAAAAAAAGATGTAATTCTTTCAAACGTCAATTTTGTACAAGCTGATATTTTGGAGGGGCTGCAATATTCAGATTGTTCTTTTGATTATATTCACATCAGAAGTTTATTCCATTATGTTACGACAAAAGATGCACGTAATATATTATTTCCAGGTAAAAAAAAAACATTTTAATGTAAAAGTTTTTTTTCAATAATTAATCAATTAATAAATTAATGTACCTTTTTTCATAATTAGACTTGCTACGACTTTTAAAGCCTGGTGGCTGGATTGAAAATGTAGAATATGATACTGTTATCATGAATTCTGGACCTAATACCAAGTTCCTTATGGATACATGTAATTTATTATTTATTATTATTTTACTCATGTATATTATTTACGTTTATGTCAGCTTTTATTAATATCTTTTTAAAAAATCTTTTGTTAAATTGTTAAATAATGTTTTATTTGATAGTGTTTAACTACTTTTTAAACCATGGGATTTATCCTGATGAATTTTATCAAAATTTATCGAAATTATTTAAAGAAAACAATCTTGAATATCAAATTGAAGAGAAAATAGAATATTTTACTGACTCTGAATTTGTAAACCTTTTTTATTTATATATTTATAGTTATTTTGTTTAACAAAAAAGTAATCGATTTGTAATTTTTTTTTGTAGGCGATGAAGAATTACATAAACCTTTTTAGACTTTTAAAATCCATTATTCTTGAATACACAAGCATTAGTCGCGAGAAGTATGATGAAATTCTTGATAAAGTTTGGGATGAGCTCATAGAATATAAAACTTCCTTTCGGATGATAAGATTTTTTGGAAAAAAACTATGACTTTAAATTCTAAATTCTTTAATTTAAAAGTATTTATTTTCATATTTTATATATATAAATATATATACTATTGTTAGTTTCATCTGTAAAGTTAAACATACATTAATATTGTTTGATATAAATAAATTTACTATCATTTATTCTCTCATTTCAAATAAATAAATCTTTTGCTCTTTAATAAACTTATCCCTGATAAATGTATCGAGAATAAATTAAAAGATATAGTGTAACAGTTAATTTGTTCTTTAAGTTTCACACCAATTTTTTAGCTATAATATGCACTTTTAAATACTAAATATATAGAGAGCATTTAATATATTACAAATCAAAGTTAAGTTTTGATTACGTTTCACTTCCCAGAAATTTATTTTGTTTTACAGACAATCGGTTCATAAACGAGTTATTTTAAAGACAATTAATTTACGGACGGTTCATTTTATTGTTTATTTTGTAGATAAATTTATTTTATTGATATTTTATAGATATTTTATAGATAATTATGTAACATACAGTTTATTTAAAAGTCAAATTTATTTTAAAAACACTTTGTATCAGAAAGTTGTACAAACTACAAGCTTATATTCACTAAATGTCGATATTAAATAAGTACTTAAATTATATATTTTGAAAGCACTTAAAATTTAAATGCTTATTAAAGATAAATTGAAGTTTTTAATAAAATGACATTACAAATATATAAGAAGTAACTTTATAATAATATATTATTCTGATATGATAGAAATTATGACCATTGTTATGCTTAGCAGTATGTGTTCTGAACATAATAGTATGTAAATATGCAGTAAATAATAAGCATTGATCATAAAACAAAGTATGTTAAGAATACAAATATTTATCTGATCGCAACTCAAACCATCTAACTATTTGTCTTTATAAATCAAAAAAGAAACAAATAGTTTGTAATTGTTGACAATATTATCATTAATAGTTAATAACATCATAATAGAAAAGAAAATTCATATTACTACTGGACAACATCCATTTGGTCAACAAGTTCCACCCTAAATTGATGACACAAAATTAGTAAAATATTCACAATGTAAAGTAGGTTAAATAGAAAATATTACTTGGGGACAACAGCTAAAAATAAAATATTTGTTAGTTATATATTAGTACAATACTTTTAACAAAAAGAAATTTGAAAAGCATACGACGTTGAGTTCCTGGTGCAACACCTGGCTCTCTGAAACACCAAATAAGAATACGATTGCAAATATTAACAAAATAGTGTTAATTGTAGAGATGGGTTTCATGCGTACGCATGATTCCTCAATCGTGCTTATGATTCGGAATTATGCCCATTATCCCATCTAATTTTTATATAGAAAAAATTAAGTATATTTAATTTAGGCCAAGGTGTATAATGCCAGGCAAAATTAAGAAATATGAATGCAGAAATTTTGAAAAATTCCGAAAAGAAAATGAATGAACATAAAGACGAGGAAAAATTTTTGGCAAATATCCGATATTTTCCGGAGGGAAAATATAAAATTAAAAAAATTATATCATGCGATATCATGCGCATGTTATTTTAAAATGCGCATTTTTCCCATCTCTAGTTACTTGGCTTTATTTTTTAATGAGAAAAAAGTAAATGTACTGAATTTTGATTTTTTTCAAAGGATCTATTTGCCTCTTAGAAATGGTTCTTATTTATTTATATTTTTGTGCTTTTAACTAAAATATGGTGTTTTACAAAGAACATTTAATACAATATTACCCTGCAAGAAATTTTATCCGAATATTTCCATTATTTTTTCATAATTGAGAAAACTCTGTGAATCTGCATCATGATCAACCACTTTTAACAACCGAATAATAAATTATCTAGTATGCAAGTCATAATCTATCGGATAACTCCTTTATCAGTTATGCTGATACTGCTTTACTACTTTAATTTCATTAATTTATTAGTTAGCCTAAGGGTCAACACGAATAACTCGATCAGCAGAGTCATATTTGAAATTTATTAAGAACACCTTGACTAATCTGTAGGAGTTTTTTTTTAATTCTTGGCTGTTCTTTATTATTCACTAAATAAGCCTTTTATTAGGCAATGTTTTGCCTGAAAGCTTATGATTATTTGTTATTTTACTAATTATCTCATTTTATTCCTGCCAACTGGGATGATTCAGAATTAACTTATTACGAAAATAAATGGGAGTTAAAAAATTCTATTTCTTTTGGAAATTCCGAAATCCAAAAATGAAAAGGTATATTGGGGTTTCAGAGCTAACTTTTTTTTCAAAATAAGTGTGTGTTTAAAGATTCTATTTTCTTTTTTAGAGTTCCGAATCAAAAATTAAATAGGCATAGCAGGTGATAAAATTAGCTTTTTTTTTTTTTGATAAACGTTCATCGGTAAACGATTATGTAAATAAGTACATATTTTAAATGAATAGGATTTGTATGTCGCTTCTTTTGAAATAAATACGTAATTTATTTTATCGGAAATCGGTCGCCGAATTACTAATTTTATTCGAAATCTGAAATCTGATCATTAATTCTTTGTTTTCTTGCTATTATAGGCCCATTTCGCGGAATAATACGCGTAATTCATGTGGCAGTATAATAAATTTAAAGATGGAGAATAATTAGCAGTGAAATCAATAAACAATGGTCCAATAGAGTTCAAAGTATACTACTGATTAACTCTATTCGGAGCTCTATTAGGCTCTATTGTTAACTTTTAAGCAGACTAATATTTATGACATATATTGATAAATAAATATGCGTATTAATAATTATTACTATTGGATTTCATCTTAACGAAACAGCAAAAAATACTTACCTATTGAGTTTTGTTTTTATTCGTTGAATACAACATACTCATTCATATTATTATAAAATTAGGGCATTCTCAAGCGCCCACCTCAATGAATTCAATAAAAAACATAATTGGCTAGTTTAATTAAGCAGACCAATCAAGTTCGTTATTGAGTCCATTGAGGTAGATACTTGAGAATGCCCTTAATTATCAAATTTAAATATTGCTACATAATAAATCTTAATATACGTTAGTATTTCTTACTTCATCAATAGTTATTTCACTAAATGTTCATTTAGCCATTGCAGGTATATATTTTTAATAAATTGTTAACAGCCAATAAAACAACTATTAATGAAACAATTGTCGGTGAAGTAAGGCAGATCTGTTATTCTTGGGTATCTAAGAGTACTGTTTGTTTTTTCAGGAATCTGATATTCATAATGCCAGTATGTATTTCTATAATATAGAGAAGGATAAATAGTAGAGTTAATAGAATCAATAGAGCTAATTTATTCTTACTAGAGTTGGCCCCGAAACCCTTTGAGCTAAAATCTGAAAGTTTCGGGTTTCGGATTATAGCTTCCGAAACCTTATCCGAAACCTCGAAACTCTACCCGAAACCCGAAACCTCATCCAAAACCCCGAAACTGCAAAATATTAATTTTTATATAGTATTAGGCTATGCAGACAAATAAAATTGCTTTTGATTATTT